TTTTTTAACAATTTGTTAGGGTATACATGCTTTATTTTATAGATCAGATGTCTTTAACTAATTTCTCATAATTTAATTTCCTCAAATTCGTTATTTTTCTCCTCCTGGTTTGTAGCAGTTGTTTTTGCGCCGTAAGTACTCTGCACAAGGACTTGAGAGGTCTGCCTGCTTTTCTTTATTATTTTAATCATTCAAATTTTCAAGCCTGATGAGTTGAGTTGGGGACCAGGTATGAGATATCTTTCTATATAAAAGAATTTAGTTTAATATAATTTGCTTCTAAGAATATCATAAAATACAATATATGGAGGAAAAAAATTTAAGTGTTTCTATTTTTCATGAATAGAAGCCAGCATAGTACAAGTTATTGCCTATTTTTCATTATTTATAATTTAATATTGTATTTTAATGTTAAATATTAGTAACAGGTTGAGGTTATTGTGAAGTGTCTTTTACTGCTCTTTTTTCCCCTCTAGAGGATAAATATATTTTGTTTTTTTAGTAGAGTTTGTATTGTATTTTTAACCACAAGTTACCATTAGATTCTCAATCACTCCATACCAAAAAATAAAATACCTTTTTATTTTTTTTTTCTTATAAATATACACTACTTGAAGGAATACTCAAATAATACTCCATTTTATTTCATTTTAGCAAATTTCTCCATGAAGTCTATTATAGGGCAAGTTTTTGAAAGTGTTCGTGAAAGAGTTCTTGATCCAGTTTCTAAAAGAATTAGTGAAATAGCTTGTGAAAAAGTTCTTGGAGTTGTAGAAGAACACGTAGATTGTCACATAAACTTCCAAAATTATGTGGATGATCTTAAAAGAGGAGTGGGAGACTTAAAACGTAAAAGAGGTGATAAAGAAGCAGAATTAAGAATAGTGGATCACTCAGAAAAAATGGTCAAAGAAGAAGTGCAAGGATGGCTTGAAGGTGCAGGGAGGGTCATTGATGTGCTAGATATTGAGGAAGAGGTTGAGAACGTTTCATACCTGTCGCAGGGTAGCCTTGGAAGACGTGTTCGTCAAAAGACGCAAGAGGTGAGAGAAATTCACAATCGAGGCAATTTCACTGAAGGTCTTGTAATTGAAAGGCCTCCATCTATTGGAATTCCTTTGCCAACAGAGAATATGGTGGGCAAGCTTGATGTGAAGGAAAAAATTCGCGGATACCTGAGAGGTAGTGAGGGAATGATTGGAGTTTGTGGAATTGGTGGAATTGGCAAAACTACTATTATGAAACACATCCATAATGAATTATTGAATGAGGCTACTCAGTTTGAAAAGGACATCTGGATCACAGTATCACATCCATTCAATGTTGTAAGATTACAAGGCGACATTGCAAGAAAAATGAACAAAGGCCTTCGAGAAGATGCAGATGAATTGGAGCGGGCATCAAGATTGATGGAGATTATGAAAACAGTGAAATATGCATTGATCTTAGATGATGTGCAAGATAAATTTACTCTTACAAGAGTTGGAATCCCAAAACCAACAATGGAAAATGGGTGCAAAATTGTTATTACTAGCAGATCAGTTAATGTGTGCAACTACTTGAGCTGTAAAATAGTTAAGGTGCCCCCTCTTTCAAAGGAAGAGTCTTTCAACTTGTTTTTAGATGAGGTTGGGCCTGATGTTCTACAAATTCCCAATTCAGATGAGATTGTGAAGCTTATAGTGCATAAATGTGCTGGTTTGCCGTCTGTCATTGTTGGCATTGCTAGCAGAATGAGAGGAGTAAAAGATACTTGTGAGTGGAGAAACGCATTACTTGAGTTGCCTCAATAATAGCATGGGAGAAGAGGAAGGAAATTAAAACAACTATTGCAATATTCACTCTTCCAACATTAAGGAAACTGCATTTGAATTGCTTACCAGAATTGAAGGGAATATATCAAGAAGATGAAGTAAAGGTTTGTGATTCTCTCAATACCACTACCATGGAAGGATGCTGAAAGTTAAGGATGATTTTGCTTTATGTTGTTGGCAACAAGCGACCATTTCCTCCTCCTGCTCTCCCCCCCCCCCCAAAAAAAAAAAAAAAAGGAAGAAGGAGTAAAACCAATAGTAGAATAGTAAAAATCAGTGGAGTGGGACAATACTGAAAATAAGAATATTCTCTTACGTTTCCTCAATTGCTAGTATAATATATTTTTATTTATTTTTCTGTTGTCTGTTTTTCCATCATTTGCGTTCCAATCTCTATGGTGCTTCATAAATAAAAGCTTCTCTCTGTTTACAATATTTTTGCTTCAAAAACAAATGCGATTCTTGGTTTGAAGGACTTGAAATTTTTTTTTTAGCCATCAAAGGACTTAATTTTTTTTTTTTCAATGGAAAGGACTAACAATGTTAATCACAGTTGATTTACCTATATGATGTTCATTTCTTACTAAGAAGTTGTTGAATAAATAAAAAATTTAAATAAATGAAAATTAATTTTTAATGATTGGAAAAAAAAATTCAAAGTCATTACTCACTATAAAGCTTGATAAATCACTTAAAGTACTCTGCACACTGGAAAAGAAACAAAGGATGGATCTTGATGATGATGAGGTGATCTGTGGCCATAGATGTCGGTGGTGGTTGCCGAAAACAAAGACGGTGAACGAAGGGTAAAGTGAGGGACGACGAAATTAGGGCCATAACAGTCCGTTTTGAAGGGATGGCTAAGAGGTTGTGGGTTCGACGAACGAATATGAGGCTTTTATCTTTTGAAATTTAAGATGGGCTTACGGGCTATGTGGGCTGCTGAAGGTTTTTGGGTAGTGGGTTTGTAACGTTTGTTGGCTGGATAAGGGCCTGCTGCCAAGTTTTGGGCCAAACAGTGAGCTGATCTGTTATATTTTGGCTTTTTTTCAATTTGGTCAAAATTTTGGCCCCCTGCTACAATCAATCTTCATTGTTCATGTAGTTAAATACCGGTATAGATAATTAAGTCATCCAAAAATTTCACTTATTTTTTCTTTTCTTAAAAATATTGTGAAATTTCTAAATTATTATTTTGATGACATAACCTTACATGACCATGATTCAAATGTGTTCCCTCTTTCTTAGAACAACTTTCATACTTTCAATCTTTCATATATATAATATACTGTTATTCAAATTTTATCTTAAATTAGTTAAATTAATTATCCATTTTTTTATATTTTAAAAGACTTTTTATTTTATTTCTATTATTATATTATATATCCCTTGATTTTAATTATCAATCTTATATATCACAAAAAATCTCTCTT